CTGACATGTGGAGAAGCCAGGACAAGGAAAGATGAGAGAAGGAGGAAATGAAACTGTTCAGCTGTTTGGGGACTATATTAGATCTGTGTGTGATCTCTTGTTACACTGGAAATTCAGGGGGAGTGGATGAGGAGTGACTTTGAAACCTTTAGTCCCTAGACTCATGGGAGGTGGTAGCCTTGGGAAGTGGGTAGTAATAGAGCTTGCTGTCTGATGTGACTTCTTGTTATCTTCCTTGAATTCTGTTTTAAGCTGAGAGGCAGCATGGAGTAGTGGAGATAAAGCTGGCCTTGGAACCAGCTGAGTTCAAATCCTCCCTCTGACATATACTCTGTGACAAGATACTTAACCTTTTAGTGATCTTCAGTGATCTAAGACTAGAAGGAGCTGACCTACATTGGTCAAGGGAATTTCCTTATCTGGGGGTTCCTTAAAACTGTCTCAGCAGATGGGCTAAATCAGATTGAAGATGATGGACAGACCTCAAACCTGCAGTTGAGTTAGGGGGTATCTACCCCAAGCATGTGAAGACTTCTCCAGTGGAATAGGTGGATGTGAGCAAATTTTTTTTTCCAAAGGCCATTAAGGCAGCTGGAGTAGGCCCTGTAGAGTGCTTAGAGCCAGGGTTGGGAACCTGTGGCCTCGAGGTCATATATGGTCTTCTAGGTCCTCAAGTGCAGTCCTTTGACTGAATCCAAACTTCACAGAACAAATCCCTTTGGCCTTGTAGGTCCTCAAGTGCAGCCCTTTGACTGAATTCCCTTTCATTAAGGGAATTTGTTCTGTGAAGTTTGGATTCAGTCAAAAGACCGCATTTGAGGACTTAGAGGGCCACATGTGGCCTCGAGGGTCCAGGTTCCCCACCCCTGGCTTAGAGCTTGATCAGGCATCAAAGATACCAAGGTCAGCCACTGCATCCCCAGCTATCACCACTTGTCTTGACTTTCTTCTTGCCACTGGACTCTGATGACAGGAAGAGAGAGTGAGGCTGAAGACTTTGCACAACTCTACCTCACTTAAATCCACTTTATGTGTGAGTCAAAAGATATTACCTATACCATTTTACTATTTCATTACCATCCCAAATGTACAAATGCCTGCCCTGTGGCAGAGCCTTCTGAGCTCATATTGGTCTGATCAGCCATAGTTGGACACACTGTTATTTTGTCATTTGGTCATCTTTAAGTATGAAGGACAAAGACCAGACCAGTGTAATCACAGACCCTATGCCTATCTGTTCTAAATACATAAATACATATCTTTTTTTCTACTGTAATAGCATGGGTTTTTTTTTCATGGCTTGGTCAGGGAGATTCAGTGGAAATGGGGCCTCATAAACTGTGTATTTGGATAGACAATTACCCTCTTGAGTATCATGGAACAACTGGAAATAGGCAACAGGGGGCCAACATTAGAAGATCCCAGGCACTACATCAGCTATTTTATACATTATATACACGAGTATAATAATTTCTGTAATACCTACTTCATAAGGTTATTATGAATAAAGCATCTTGTAAATCTTAAAGCACTACAGAAATGTGGTCTATTAATATTATGACTTTTGTAATAAAGAAAGAGGAAAACAGGAAAGAGGAAATTAGTGAAGCCCATTATGGGATAAAATGTGTCAGTGAGGAACACTTTGGAGGACAGAAAACAGAAATGAAGTGGAAATATAGGACTGCTCTGGAATATTCCCCTCTTTTCTGATTCACCAAGTCAGCTTGTTCAGCCTTTTGGGTTTTTATAGGTGGAGGTGCTGTAGCAGAAAAACAAATCTGTGTAAGTTTCTTACCAGTTGAGTCTCCTGGAATCTTTGGGAAAGGGCATCGGTTAGAGAAACTGTTCCTCCCAGGCCAGATTCCATCGGAGCTCCTTTTAGTTTTAAATTAATATTTATCCTTTCATTGGCAGTTGTTCAAAACCAGTTCTTGATTCTGCCTCATGTGGCAGTGACTTGGAGGCTTTTCAACAATATGGAGTTTAGGTGGTATTGGGAGTTTGGAACACTATACTCAGTGATGCACTATACTCAGAGGTGCAGCCTTCTGGCCTGAGAAAATACGGCTGGTCATCAAACAGGTTGCATCTACCCCACTGGGTAGGAGGGAGAAGCATTTATTCCTCCTACAGTGACCTCAGTTCCACATACACACACAGAGAATGTCCCAAAGCTATTAAAGCATGAAATTGAACAAAAACTTTTGGGACACCCTTTGTGTATCCCATTACACATGTGTGTGCATGCATGCACACACACACACATACATGTATATATGTACTTAAATATATGTACACATATCATATATGTGTATATCATACATATGTACACACATATATGTACTTATATATATATATATATATATGTAGGGAGACGGGTTTTTTCTGGCCAAAATATAGCAACAAAGCAGTTAGGATTCGCTGTGGACAGATATGCATGATAAAGGCAGGAATTTTGTTTGGTGGGTGGAAAACACTGACCTTGCTTCCTTTGCCTTCCTTTAGCTATGGCTCAAATTCTTTCATGGCTAAGCCACAGTGGACCTTGGAAGTGCATCAAATTGTGTGAGCCCTAAACTATATAGTTATCTGTAACGGAAGGCTTTGATTTCCCTGCTGATATAGAAACTGAAAAGAAAGACCCAATGAAAGTCTGGGGACACTCTGGCTGGCTTTTGTTAACCTAGTGTGATGACTATGATTAAGAGCTACCAGCCTGCCCTGATCAGGGAGAGATTTCAGCCACTAAACCCTAGTATACTGAAGCTGAGGTGGCTGAACTGGTCTGACGAAATGAGTGTGAGGGCCGAGAGGAGTGATGCGTCCTGAATAGGCCCAATGGCTCCAGTGGAGATGCTGGAGCCAGTGATGAGCAGGTTTGGTGAGATCAGCCCAATGACATCACTAGAAGACTTCAGGGGTCTTTCAGCCTCAGAGAGTGATTTGCCCTTTCACGTGTATTCTTCATATGTAGGCCCCTCATGTTTGACTTCATGTATGCTCACTCACCACATTGTTGGTGTGAATATATGGGGGAGAATATGTACTTTCATGAGGGTGGGAGTGAATGTTTTATTACAAAACCTATCACTATACTACTTCATTAAATACCTTTGCTTTGAACCGTATCTTCTGGCTGACTAGAGAAAAAGTGAACATGACCCCATTTGGGGTTTTCTTGGCCAAGATACTCTTCTCCAGCTCACTTTACAGATGAGGAAACTGAGGAAAACAGGATTAAATGACTTGTCTGAGGTCAAATAGCTAGTCTTTGAGGACAGATTTGAACTCTGAGATGTCTTCCTGACTCCATGCTCAGCACTCTTATCTGCTATGCCACCTAGCTGCGGCAAGTGGATAGAGAGCTGGTCTCAAAGCCAGGAGAACCTGGGTTCAAATGTTGGCTGTTTGACCACCCTGGGAAAGTAAATTCTGTGCACTCTAGTCAGAGGTGTCAAACAGGGGCCTCTCCTGTGTATCCCCCCCACCCCTGCCCCAACCAGTTAGAATGTAATTGTTAAAATAAGAATACATAGAACATGCTAATTTTTTAAAGTCCATATGTGGCCCGCTGGAATCCTTATGTACAGTTTAGTGGCCTCCATTTGAGGCCACTTTCTAGGAAACTAATATTGCAGAGGTGTTGACCTACATTAGTAGTTTCCTCACCTTGGAGTTCCAATATAAATGAAGTCACAGGTCCAGTCCCCATCATGTACCTTGCACAGTAAATGTGCGATAATTTTTTAAATTGAATTTACCTCTCTAAAACTTGGCTTCCTAAACTTGTACTATTGACCTCCCAGTGAAAGCCTCTTTGTAATTCTTAAGGCACTATAAAGATATGGGTTACTATTTTTATTTGCCCAACACCTAATTACCAGTGAATCTCCTAAGCAATCTGAGGTCTATGTTTAAAGCTGGGCCTTGCTTATATATAAGCTGCCCCCTGGGCTCTCCTGAAAGTCTGAGTCAGGAAAACTCATTATTATGAGCAGACACAAGGGAGCTCCGACATTCTTCAGGGAGCCTTGTTTTGCTTTTTTCTCACCTCCTTGTCCCTGGATGACTTACAGTCCCAGCTGGAGGGTAAGCTCCTTGAGGGCCAGCCCCTCTTCTCCTCAATTCTTACCTGTTCCTCTATTCTAACTGGTATTCTTCACACAGCAGGTGTTCCCTCAAAAGCCTTCTGCCTGTCTCTTAGCCAGCCCAGCAGAAATGAAAAGGGAGAAGGAAAACTCATTCTCAAAATCATGTTTGTGTCTTGGCTTTGGAGGACTGATGAAACACTTCCTTCTCTTGGTAGGAAAGTAGGGGTCTATGGACGTGGAACATTGCATATGGCATCAAACAAGGTTGTCTTTGTTTAATTCTGTTTTTCTTTGTTATATGGGAGGGTTATAGTGTGTCTGTAGCCAGGTGGCTAGGTTTAATGGAAAGTGACTGCAGCATAAAAAACAGAACATCAATAAAACACTTTTTTTTTTTAAAGGCAATTGGGGTTAAATGACTTGCCCAGGGTCACACAGCTAGTAAGTGTCAAGTGTTTGGTCTGAGGCCGGATTTGAACTCAGGTCCTCCTGAGTTCAGGGCCAGTGCTCTATCCACTGTGCCATCTAGCTGCCCCTGGTTTTTTTTAAATAGTAAAAAAAGAAATTCCACTGGAGAATGGAATTACGTAGAAGCAGTCCACCAGAGAAATGGGTATTATGTCTCCCTCCTTTTCCAGCTAGATTACAGGAACTGTTAACTAGGGTTGGTGAACTTGTTTTGCAATTGTGATAACTGTATTTCAATATAATCAGTATTTTACACATTTACAACGATGATGAAGGGGTCCATAGGCTTTGTCAGACTGCCAAAGGGGACCATGGCACAAAAAAGATTAAGAACGCCTGAGCTATAAAGTTTTCTAATAAAACAGAGGGTTGTGTATGTGTGAATGTTACAGAGACAGACAGGATCCATATCTTTGAAGGCAACTTTTGCTTTCAGAATACTGATGCATTTTTTTTTAATTTAAGAAGAGAATAAAGCATTTGTAAATATATTTCTCTCATGTATACTTCAAAGGTGAAGCTGGTAGGTAGGATGCTAGTGTGCTGGAGCCTGGACAGGATGGAGTTCCTCCTTCCCACCCTCACCCTTACCCCGCCAGAAGAGACGCACAAATGACTGGAGTTTCCCCTGCCCCACAGGGTGAAGATTCAAAACCAAGGGAATATAAAAGACCAGAGCCACTAGCTTCCATCACAGTGATGCCTCAAGAGTAGGTTGGGTGCCTTCAGGGATGCTTAAGAAAACTGCTTTTCTGGTTACAAATAAATAAGGCATGGGAGCTCCCAGTATAGGAGCCAGACAACTCTTCCTCCATCAGGCTCTACGGCTGCTAATGTTTGTGGGGTCAGCAGACAGCATTGAGACTCTCAAATTTGGTGGCTTGGAGGCAGGGCCGTGAATCCCTGGATCTTCTCAGACTGAACCAGAAAGGGGCAACAGCCAGTCAGGAAGAGTTAACTCCAGAAGAGAGTCAAAGCCCCTCCTCCCCACACCCCCAAATCAAGTGGGCAAAGGAAGGTAAGAGAGGAGGCTGAACCATGTTGGTGAAAAGTAAGAATTTTTCAGGAGGCAAAATATACTCTTTCTCCCACTGGATGGAGAATACTGTATGGGGGGACAGTCTGTCAGGCTAGCCCCAGGAGTGACAGGCTAGAAGCTGAAGCTCGAGTAACATGCTGGTTGTATATACCCAGGAGTGGGCACTGGATGGAGTATGTGAATGAGATATCACAGTCCCTGAGATAGGGGCAGACATAGTGAAGTCTGGGGTGGGGAAGGTAAGAAACCACACGAGTGGATGAGAAAGAAGTGGTTCTGCTACAATGCTAGTCAAGGGATCCCAACTGCCACGAGGGGTGTCCCCTCAAGTTGGGATTCCCCTCAGAGGCATTTTCCAGAAAGGCTGGAGAACAGTAAGCAGAGGAGTTTCAGCTCCTTCATAGCTGGGTGAGGGTCTCTCCTCCTCCTCCCCAGAGCTCACTTGCTACAGAAACGGTGCTGGGCTGGCTCCTGAGGGGTAGCCGGGACATCCCAGGGGACACAGACAGCTGGCTCCCAGGTCTGGGGTGACAGCAGGGGCCCTCTCTTCTCTCAGAGGGGGCTTTCTGCCTAGAGGGGGGGCTGTCTGTCTCCAACCTGACAGGGATGACCTTGACCAAACGCCGATGCCAAAATGGAGTGAAGAAAAACCTGGGTTTGGGGTGGAGTTCCCAGCTAGGGTGCTGGGTGTGGGTCCAGGAAACCAATCAGGACTGCAGGAGGCAGCTCTGGGTGGTTTCACTTCAAGTGCATCCAGTCTTGGGGGGGGAAGAAGCTAGAATAATAACAAAAAAAAATTCCCCAGATCCAGAATGGCTTTGAAAAGAAAGTTGGCCATATGTCTGAGAACCAGCTACATGGCCTGGAAGCCAGAGGGTTGGGGAGAGAGGGACTTCCCCTGGGATGTCTGGCTATTAAACTCTGGGATGCTTCATCAGGCTGACACAAAGAGTGACCGGGAGCTCCTGAGAAATGGGGTCAGTTTGTCTTCCTACCTCTTGCTCCCCAAACTCCTGCTCCCCACCCCAGGCATGGGGGAGGGGTATTCCTTAGGTGTGTCTGGAACCATCATAAACTACTGTGTCCTCTTACGAGGTTTCTCCCTTTCCCCAACTCCCAACCCTTGCAGGGAGCCCTTCCAGCTTGGAGTGATAGAATCACACTCCAACTCGGAAGTCGGAAAGGGCTCCCTTTCACAGAGAGCTAGAGAAAGGAGGTGGGGGTACCTTGTATCCTGGGGGGAAGAAGAGGACTGGAGCAAGAGCAAGGGGGTTTGGGAAGCAGGCAGGGCTCACTTGCTACTATGGGTCTTGACCTTGGTGGCATTAATGTCTGCCTTGGTCTTCTGAATCCGGGAAAAAATCTCCTTGAAGAGGGCCTTGTATTCAGGCTGGCTCTGCTCCAGCCGCTTGTCCACAGCCTCCACGTGCTGAATAAGGCTCTTCTCGCCCTGCTTCCCCCCTCCCCACTCTTCCCCCAGGCCCTCCTCCCCGGCCCGGAAGTCACGGCAGGAGCTGTCTCGGGAGATGGGGCGGGAGGTCTGCACCCCGGTGTGCCGCACCCCATCTTTGTGCTGCCTGCACTTGCTCAGCAGCTCCTCGTACTTCTCCAGCAGAGCGTGGTACTGCTCGTCCACCTCCCTCAGGATGGACATGCCCCGCTTGCGCACGCTGTTGGCGTGCAGGATGTAGTTACCCATGTGGCGACTGGCCAGGTCTTTGGCCATGATGGCATTGAGGGCCGTATCACTGCAGCTCTTGCGCACAGAATGACCGGGGGAGGCTGCTGGTGACGGGACCCCATCTTTACCTGCTGTCCCGTCCCCGCCAAGCTCGGGATCATCTGCCTCCGGCGCATTGTTGAGAGGCTCCAGCAAGGCCTCGGACAGGTTGTCCTCCTGGCTCAGGAGGTACGTCTTCACCTGCTTCATCTGCTGTAGCTCCAGCACCTCGGCCTCTAGCTCCTGCACCCGAAGTTTGCAGCCTTCCATCTCACATACCCGCCGCTCCAGCTCCGAGTACTCCTGGATCACCGAAGTGTACTCCCGCTCCGCCCTCTCCTTCCGCTGCTTCTCCTGGCTCACCTGGGAACGCAGGGAGCTGACAATGGCCTGCAGCTGCTCGTTCTCCCGCTCCAAGGGCTTTGGGCTCAGATCCATTGAGGAACTATGCAAGCGGAAGGCATCCTCATACCTGGGAAGGTAGAACTGGGTCACTGGGATCATGGTAATTAATCCCTTCCTCCTACAAAATGCCCAGCCAAAGAACGCTTTATTCTGTAAAGAATTCTTTAAAGAATGTGGATGGGTATAGACTTTCTCCAGCTTCTAGCCTGTGTGAAAAATATCTTATTTTTCACTGCTTCACTAAATGTAGGTGATGAAAATAATTTGTGTTTAATATATCTTAACGTCTTTCTCTTTATAATCTGTGTTTTCTTAGACTGGAAACTCTCAGAAGCCATGGACTGTATCAGTTTAACTCACTTTGTATTGAGTCTGATGTGCATTGCCATTGTTCAAAGCTAGGCTCAAAGGCCACCATCCTCCATGATTTCTGATCCATCCAAACCAAAGTATTCTTTTCTCCTCAAATATTCTTAAAGCATTTTGTCTGGCTCTGTCCTTTGGCCCTACCACATACTACTTTGGATTACATTTATCTGTATACATGTGTATTTTCCCCTTCCAACCTCCAGCAGATTGTGAGCCCCTCATCTTTGTATCCTCGGTGCTTAGCACAGTCACTTGTATACAGCAGTCACTTAATAAATGAAATGAATGTCATTAAAATGCTTGTTATGTATCTGCTTTGGCAAGCTATAAACTTGTTGAGTTCAGTGGACCAGAGTGATCTCTAAGGTCCTTTCGACTCTGATAAGTAAAGAATCCCAAGATAGTATTTTAATTGTGTACAGTTACATACATGGTACCCTCTGCATATAAATCCTTCTAATACAATACTTCCCTATTCAGCTGAGAAGATCTTTCAGTCTATGGCTAGACAGAGTGGTCAGATGTGGGGGAGAAAAGAGCTGAAAATTACTGTTTGAAAATCACCCTCACATACAATCAAGCATTCAGCAATGTCTTGGTAGAGCTCCCTGGGGAAAGGAGAGCCCTAAGAATGGTATATTTCTGGGAATGAAGGAGAAACATGGTGGAGGTGATTCCCTCCCCAGGGTGCCCCCCACCCCATTCCATCAGAGAAACAGGCACTGTGCAGAAGGAGTGCATTGTATTAAGCATAATGTGACAGAGTGCATGAAGGGGCAACGTCATTGCCTGGGGATGGCTGGCAGTTGCAGGGACAGTAAAAGGGAAGGTGGAGGGAAAGATGGCCAGGAAAAAGACATGCTTTAGAGCTAACTATCTCAGTGGGAACAGTCTCTCAGGAAACCAACTGTTCCAGTTACAGAGCTAAAGCCTTGTCCTTTCTATTCGTAGCAGGCCACATCTAGGAGAAAGCCATCCCTTCTCTGTCTTCAGAGCTTGGTCTGAGACACTGAGACTCCTTCTGGTTCCTAAGACCCTGAAGGTATCAGTGGCCAAGATATACCCTTCTATTCCCCAGGTCCCAACTCTGCTCTTGTACCCTTCTTTCCTCCCCCTCTGCCTCCAACATACCGGGGGCTGGAGCATAATTCCTTAAGGCAAGGGAAAGTGTGGATGGTTCTACGTCTCTCCCGCTTCTCTCTTCGGACCCGCAGTTGCTCCAAGCTCCTGAGCTCTTCCACCTGTCCCTGAAGCTCTTCTACCTGGGTCTGAAGACTCTCTATGGTCTCTGTCAGGCTAAAGGATTGAGAAAAAATCAGACAAGCTGTTCATCCTATTATAATGTCTTTCTTCTAGTTCTGGGTCTTTAAGAACAGTACAGAGGGGAAGGTCAGCTCTGTGCCTGGCCCTCATCCAGGCATCTTCCTGCAGAGAGAAGGACCAAGTGTGGAATCTTAATGTTGGCAACTCTTTCTAGGTTAGGGGGTGATGTAGAATAAGAGAACAATGGGTCAGCCCTGAAATGGATATGTGTGTAGTATGTGTGTCTATTTATCTATCTATGCATTAAAAATATTTATGAATATATGTGTATATATACACAGAGTATATATACATATAGACACACACCTATGTGTATATACATTCACCTATCTAGCTATCTGTGTATTGTATATATTTATATATGTACATACACACATCAATATGTATAATACAAATTATATAAAATAATAAATATATGAATACATGCAGGGTATTTTAATATGTGTAATATGTGTCAATATACATATATACACATATTTGTGTGTATATCTATCTCTCTCTCTAATATATATATAGAGAGAGAGACAGAGAGAAAAAGTTTAAAACTGCACTAAGACTTTTGGGATATCCTGTATAAAATTTTATGTAGCACTTTAAGGGCTACAAAACACTTTACAGATGTGATCCTACTTGATCCTCACAACAACCTTGGGATGTGGATGCCTTTATCACCCCCATTTTATAGATGAGGAAATTGAGGCAGATCGAAGTTAAGTGACTTGCCCAACATCATATAGGATATATTTGAGTCAGAATCTGAACTCAAGTCTTCCTGACTCCCAAATCTAGCAGTCCACTCACGGTGGCTCTTGCCTGGATGCCTCGATCTGGTCCTAAGAAGAAAATTCCTCCACAATATCTGCCCCAGACACCAAAATCCAGAGGAAAGTACGCTCCCCAGTACCTAAGTGCACAGGCTCCTATGTAAACATGTATCACACACATACATCCCCATGAGGAGGGCATCATCTCCCCTCCACCTGCAGAACCCCGCCACGACCACCAAGCACATCCTCACCTCTGGATCTTCTGCTGGGCAGCCTTACTCTCCAGCACCAGCTTCTGGTTGGACAGCTCCAGGTCTTGAGCGGTCACGTCTAGCTGCTCATATACCTTGGCATGCTGCTCATTCACTTGCCGCAGGGTGTCCAGTTGTTTTGTCAGGTACTGGGTTGTGGATGGTGTTGGTAAGGGTACAACAACACATTTTATATAGCACCTTAAAAGACTGCAAAGTGCTTTGCAAATATACATCAACCCATTTGCTTCTCACAAGAACCCTGTGAGCCTGGATACTATGACTAATACTATTAATCCAGTTTTATAGATGGGGGATGCTAAGACTCCAGTCATTCAGAAGTAACTTGCTTATGGCTATACAACTAGTAAGTGGCTGAATTGGGATTTGAATTGAGGTCTCTCCTGATACTCTGGGGGAGGAACTGAGTGGTTCTATTAAAAAGCAGGGGAAAAGTTTTTGCTACAGTTCCTCAAATCACTAGATTTACTTGATTTTGAAATATGATTCTGAAACAGATTACAAGGGTGATAACAAAACTCCAATGAAGACAGAGAAGTATAAGTTACCCTCTAAATATTGAAAGAATGGAGGGAGGGAAGTGTACAGAGTCCTGGCCAATTAAAAAAAAAAAGGTTTTAGTTCCTTGTGGTTCTACCAGTGAAGCCCTAACCTATAGTTTGAACTATCTGCCTTCTTCCTTTCAAAAATCAGAACGATATTTCCAAGTCCATAGTATCTCATTGATTCTCCAAAATTTCCCAAAAATCAGTGATAGAGGATCACTTCCATAAGTTTATTAAATGACCTAGGATGTAGTTCCCCCCAACCTAGTCACTTTCCAAGTACTTTTGGTCCAGATTCAAGAGAGGTTCCATATTTGATAGTTTTTCAGTCCTACATAAATGGAAGAGTCCTGATGAATGTTTAATTAACAGGTGCTCCCCACAAACCCCCAAACTCCCCCCAAAAACTATGCACGCCATGCTTTTAAACTTAATCTGAATTAACATTTTCTTCATTACTTTCTTAAGTCTAGACAATCAACAAAACGATAAATCAAATCCTGATTTGTAGTATTTACCAATTTCTGAGGTGTAAATACTCACACCGAACATTTAACAAATGGTTCTCTCCAAGTGGTTCTAACTGGCTCCAAAGACATCCTTTTGGCTTAAAGCATGTGCCCCTCTGAAAAATGGATAGATATTGGCTTTCTGTGTTGAGTAGTTGGAGAAAATCTAAGTAATTAATTTCCTCTCCACTCAAATGCAAATAATGTTTTTATTAATAATGACCACCTTAAGATGACAGCTTGTTACTCCCTAGCAACTTTATGACAGACGGTCATTTGCAAGTCCTGTCATCAACTCCCCGATGTCATGGTCCTCTTTGAAAATGAAGGACAAACACAACCTGTGAGTAATCCGACCTGCCTGAATGGGGACCCAGCTGGCCAGTTCCAGTTGGGCAACTCAGCTTATCCTCTCCTCTCCTCTCCTCTCCTGTCCCTTTCCCCGTCCCCTTACCTGAGAGTGTTCTGCCCATAGGAAGGTAAATTTTTTAAAATTAATTTATTTTGAATTATCAACAATCACTTCCATAAGCTTTTGAGTTTTAAATTTTTCTCCCCCTCCCTCCCCAAGACAGCACGCAATCTGATATAGGCTATACATATATATTCCTATTAAACATATTTTCACATTAGTGATGTTGTAAGAATTAGAACCAATAGGAGGAACCACCAGAAAGAGGAAACAAAACACAACAGAAGAAAAAAATAGCAAATAGTATGCTTTGATCTGTATTCAAACTCCATAATTCTTTATTCTTTGTGGATAGCATTTTCCATCATGAGGCCTTGGGAGATGTCTTAGATCTTTGTGTTGCTGAGAAGGGCTAAGTCTATTAAAATTAGTCATCACACAACATTGCTGTTACTGTGTACAAGTTGTCCTGGTTCTGCTCACTTCACTCAGCATCAGACCATACAAGTGGAAGGTAAATTTTGATGGCCAAAAGCTGCCTACTTAACTTGGTGTTTACTGGCTAGATTTTCCTCTAAAAGACCAAGATTTAAACTCAATTCCCTCTGGAGCTCAGAGATTGGACAACAATAGGTTTCTGCCCAAGCGTCATTTAATGATTATTTTTTTGGGCCCTCCTGGCTCAGAGTGAACGTAAATAGAAACTGCTTTTCTTTTGGTGAGCAATCTGAGGATCTTCCCCAGCCAGTTTGATTTTTTTTTTTATTAAAGGGGCCATCCCTTGACTCACTCCTTAAAGAGGCCTATTCACTGAATGGTTGCCTCAATCAAAGTGAGAACTTAAGAAGACCTTAGCTTACAAAGGTCAAGGTCTCTCATTGCATCTAGGGCCATCTTCAGTTGTCCTGATCTATACTCACCACTGGACTCAGGTGGCTCTGGAGGAGAAAGTGAGGCTGATGACCTTGCATGGCCCTCCCTCATTCAAAACAAAGTCAATTGCAAGTCATGTCATCAGCTCCCTGATGTCATGGTCCTCTTTGAGAAAGAAGGACAAACACAACAACAACCAGTGAAGCCTTAGAAGTGGAGAGGAGGAGGCAAGTCTTGCTGTTCTCTACTACCCATAGCTACCCAGTCTCCCAGCCTCCTCACCTCGATCTCCTGCACCTGTTCCTCATTGGTAGAGTACATCTGCTGCAAGGACTCCTCTAGCTCTTTGTTCCGCTCCAACAGCGTCTTCCCCAGCTCTGCTGCCAAATGTAGGTCTGAGGAGGTTGAAAGCAGCACTCGTGTTTGTAACCTTGGGGTGATCTTTCTCCCTCCCCTCCCACGTCATGGATTTATTGAGATCTGCTGACTTGATTTCAGTGATGTTTCCCATTTCTATCTCTTCCTTTCTATTCCTGCTGTCACTAACCTAGTACAGGTCTTCATTACCATCCATCTAGACTATTGCTATAACCTCCTAACTTGTCATTCCACCTCTTATCTCTTCCCCTTCCAAATCATCCTACCCACATCTGCCAAGTTAATCTCCCTTAGTCATGGCCTTGCTCATATCACATCACTAGAACAATGGCCGTTGCTCAATTTAGTCTTCATCTATGGAGACTCACAGAACCATTTAAAAATACAAAACAGCTTTCAGTACTGTTCTTTCATAATAAATTGTGGTAGAATTGTGGGAAAGTGAACAGAAGGGACTAAGAATCAGAGTTCTTACGTTGACTACAAACCTTAACCGTTGGTATTTGTAACATGTGATTGTTATGTCAAGATAGTTGACATACCACTTGAGGAGTTGAAGCATATCCATATTGGCATTTTCAGTATAAATGAAATTAGAAGTTGTAGTTATATAGGGTGGCTCATGGGTTCTCCTTGCTGAGAAGTGGAGAGATGAGTTCCATTATCAGCCCAGTCACATCATTTCATGGGACATAACCATCTTGCCTTGCAGCACCCATGATAGGCATAAGCAATCAGACTATCATAAACATAACTCTCGCTTATATATCAACATCCGTTGCAGATGAGAAATTCTATGAGCTTGATAAGATTCTCCAAACTAAAACAAAATATACCTGGACACTTGGTGACTTCTATGGGAAGGCAAGTGAGGATGGCAAAAACAAATATTAGAAAATAAGAGTAGTCTGCATGGTGATACACACCTGTAATCTAAGCTGCTGGAGAGGGTGGTGTCCCATCCCATCTCCCCTCCCCCTTTAAGGTTAGTGGATTGCTTGAGTTTAGGAGTTCTGAGCTGCAGTGGGTTAAACCAATCAAGTGTCCAAACTAAGTTTGGCATTAATATGTTGATTCCCTGGGGGTGAGAGAGTGCTACCAGGTTGTCTAAGGAGTGGAGCAAACAATCCCATGTCAGAAATGGAGGTCAAAACTCTCTTGCCAATCAGTGATGGAATTGGGCCCATGAGTAGCACCTGCCTGAGTGACGGAAAGGAAAAGAGAGGAGAAAGTACAGGATAAAGGAGAAACAAAGATCTGTAGATTACTCAGAAACTTTTCAAACTTCTACATCCTGAATCTGTTCTTTGAAAAGAGAGTTGGAAGGAAGTGACTAGAATGTACATACCCTTTGTGCCAGAGATTCAATTGCCTAGCATATACCTAAAGGAGGTCAGTGTTATAAAAAGAAAGGCAAATATCAAAATACTTGTAGCAGAACTTTTTGTAGTAGCCAAGAACTAGAAACAAAGTACATGCCCTCTCTGCAGAGGTACCAGAGAAGACACAAGCACCAATCCAGAGTCTACTTCCTCTTTTTTAGAAAATCTTTTTGAGAATGATTTATGTGCCTATTAAATCATTTATGAAAATATGGGAAGGGAATAGGGCGAGGTTTCAAGATTTTCTATAGCAGACTGAATGCTCAGTCACACACCTGATAGAGCAGTACAAAGAATGTTAGCTTCTTCTGTGCTGGTTTGGTGAAAAACATTTTGATTCATCAGAATAACACACAGTCTTAAAGGCTCTCCTCAAACAAGATGTCACTTATTCACATGTTTAAATCACACAAGATTCTAAGACAGTTGCAACTGTAGATATACCTTTGACTATGGTTCTACTGTGTATTAAAATCAAGTGAGGCATAAGAAATGAAGACACTTAAGATGTTGCCTAGTATTAGTGTTCTGACAGGGGAGCTGGCTGGTGCAGTGGGGAGAGCGGTGGGCCTAAGACCTTGAGTTCAAATCTGGCTTCAGACATTTACTAGCTGTGTGACCCTGGGCAAGTCCCTTAACCTCTGTCTACCTCAGTTTCTTTGTCTGTAAGATGGGAATAACAGTAGCACCTCCCGCCCTCCATTGTAAAAATCAAATGAGATAATACTTGTAATGTATGTATTTGTAATGTAATTGTGTGCTGGCACATAGTAAGCACTTTATAAATGTTAGCTATTACTATTACTATTGCCCAGAATCCAAATAGAAGGACTGTCTATTAAGGTGAGATTCTCCAAATGCTCCTTGATAATTGTATCAAGCCCTGGGACTATGCAAAACTTCCGCATCCTTTTGAAGACACAGTTATGGTAATCAGCCTAACCATCCATATGAAAAACCCAAGCAGATGGAAAACACGCATTGTTCAGATCACACAAGCTCACTGAGCTGGTCCACTAGCATCCATATCCTGGACAAGAGCTGCAACCGGGAGAATGGAAAGAGCACAAGTGACATCGAATAGGAAGTAATTAGACTGGATCATATTTGGGAAACTGGGTAATGCCTTCAATGATCCCAAACTGCTTGGTGCCACCACATCCCATCTCCTTAATAGCGATATCTTCCATCACTTATTAGTGATGCTCTATATCTAGAAATAATGTAACATGACAATTTCTAGAGTCAAAATTGCAGATGGCCCAAAGGGCAATGGGAATATGTACGGTAGGTATAGTGGAGTGTCGGATATACCTGATGACCTGTGTGCGACAAGTGGGGACAAGAAGACACGAAGGAGCTGTGTGACCAGCGGAAGAGAGGGGCTGCTCGTATAGACAGAGTGAAGGATGACAGAGCTTGAGTGTCATAGCGAAATATTAAAAGAACCAGAGGAAGGCCTCGATGTTACTGGGCAGACTCTTACAGAATCATAGAGTTAGGAGGGACTTCAGAGGCCATTTGGTACAATTCATACCCCTAAAATCTCTACAACATACATTGAAAATGGTGGTCCCTACCTTTAGAAAGGGGAAACCCATTTTAACTGTGGGCAACTCCAACGGTTTGAAAGTTTTCCCCACATATTAAGCTCAAAAAATTTTTTTTAATACCTATTCTTCCCAGTTGTGCCTCTTGGGGTCAAGGAGAATAAGCCTAATCCCTCTTCCACATGATTTATCTAGACCTAATCCCTCAAGCTCATGAAGACAGCTACCATCTCCAAACATTCCCAGTTCCTTCAATGGATTCTCACACAGTACAACCTTGAGGTCCCTCACCACCCTCATCCCTCTACCCTCTGGTTGTTTTTAGTTTAATCTAAATCCTAATCAAAATGTGGCACACAGGACTGACTATAAATGTCACTGTGTTGGGATGGTTGGTGAGGAAATCATTCTGGACTACCTCAGATCAATGAAGCACCAGCAATTCACGTGATGATATTACAGAACAAGGAACTTTGTCAGAAAGAGGCACTTCTCATGGAGCTGCATAGTCATTTTAGTTCTTTGCTACCGAGACAGTGCTCTTTGCTGGGTTGGCATCTGGGGAGTTGCATCTAAGTGTAAAATCAGTTTCAATATCAGCCTCTTCTCCAGATACTATAAAAACTAAGAGGCTTTGGAAAACGTGTGGCAATGAGGATTTAACCACTATTTCCTGAGGAGTCAGTGGGGGATCGAGTTCTAATAATTTGCAAAGAAATTGAGTTTTAATTGTCATCTGTGAAGATACCATTTTCCTGTCATGGCTGGAAACAGAGCGTATAGAGAAAGAATTTATTTCCTGAGAGGAATATGTGTAATGCTCATATGGGGTATCCCAAGCTATCAAAGCTTAAAACTGCACTAAGGCTTTTGGGACACCCTGCATTGTAAATAAAAAAGAGGAGGATTCTTAAGGAGAGACTTTAACTGGTATCCTGAAAAGCTGAATGGTAGGACTGTGTTTCAAAAGTGAGCAGTCAAGGGTAGAAGTGATGGTTAGAGGTGACTGGCTGTGATATTTCTCACTGTTAAAATATTATAAATAATAATGATTTATGGCTTTGTGTTATTATTTGTTACTTTGTTAATAAATTGTATACCAATAATAGATGCTTATTTAAAGCTAGGAGCCTGAGAATTTTCATATAGAGAAAGATGAGTAACTGCTTATGGGAAAAGAGATTTCTCTATCAAATAAATAAAAATTAGCAAACTTGGGTAGGTGCTGAGAGCTACCTGATTAATGGCAAAGAGGTTACAATTTTAGTAATTAATAAGGACTACTAATTACTATAAACTATAAAGTGATTTTCCGTGAGCACAGATCTGACGACTTTATTCTCCCTTGGTTGATAAATTCCAGTGGCTTCCTATTGTCTCTCGAATCAAACATAAACTACCCTGCTAAGCTTTTAAAGCCCTTTAGAACTTTAACCCAGCCTATCTATCCAGCCTTTTACATATTTTTCAACCTTTTGCATTCTGCCATCCAGCCAAATTAGCCTCCTCTCAGTTTCTCACCCACAATGTTCCATTTCCCATCTCCACACTTTTGCCCTGGCTGTCCCACTTGCCTGGAATGCATTCCTTCATCTCTGATTCACAGAACATACAGACAGACAAAGATACTCCTGGATTACTTTAGAACTAGGGATGATGATAACGAATATATGGTAATGGGTTATGTAGCAGGCTGAAGGACAGCCACCCGATGAGTGTGGTTGACCCTAAAACTTTGCTACTGAAGATTATTGACTGTCTGGTCCTGGAAGCCACTCCAACCCACTCGGTAGTCTATAAGAGTAATGTTCAGTCACTTTTTCTTATTTAGGGCTTTTTTTTTAGTGCTTTCTTTCCCTTGCCCTTCCATCACAGGGAAGAATGGATTTCTCTCCCTCTCCTTCCCCATCTCTCCATTCCCTGAGGCAATGATGACTACAAGCACATAGCAGCTGGTATAGACGTTTTCCTAGTAAGTTCTCACAGAAAAGAGCCCCTGGCAAGTTTTTTTCTGCCTTGCTGTTTTCTTCCCTGTGCAGAGGCTTTCAGGTAGCCATCCTGAGAAATGGAATTTTTTTGTTGTTT